TCAAGTTGGTCTGAGCTTGGCTTTCGGTAACGGCAATGCCTGGTGTGGTGGCACTTTGTTGTCGGATCGTTGGGTTCTAACCGCTGCCCATTGCACAGATGGTGCCCAGGGTGTTACCGTTTATTTGGGTGCCATTAACATCAAGGATGACAACGAAAAGGGCCAACAAAGGATTTATGCATCGAAGAAAAATATTATCGTTCATGCCGAATGGGATCCCAGTACTTTGAGCAATGATATCTCCTTGATCAAGCTGCCGGTATCTGTGGAATTTAATGAACGTGTCCAACCAGCAACATTGCCCAAGAAGAATGGCCAATATTCGACATATGAAGGTGATTTGGTATGGGCCTCCGGTTGGGGTCGTGACAGTGATGCTGCCACCAGTGTTTCACCAGTTTTGCGTTACATTGAAGTTCCCGTTTTGAAGCAAAGTACTTGTAAGAATTACTACTTGGGTTCCGTTACCGAAAAGATGATCTGTATCAGTGGCAAGGATGGCAAGTCCACTTGTAATGGTGATTCCGGTGGCCCCTTGGTTTATAAGGATGGTGATGTCAACTATGTTATTGGTGCCACCTCCTTTGGTATTGTCTTGGGTTGTGAAAAGGGCTGGCCAGGTGTATTCACTCGTGTCACTGCCTATTTGGATTGGATTGAGGAACAATCGGGTTTGGTTAATAATTAAATGGGGTTTGCTGAAAATAATCAAAGAAAATTAAAAAAGAAAGAAAATAATTAAATTAAAAAAATAATTTGTTTAAGGAAAGATTTTCGGGGCGATAAATAAAGACGAATATTTTCTGCAAAAAAAGAGAAATTTTCGGAATTCAAGTCATGGATTTTTTTAACGAAATATTTCTGGGTCCCTAACCAAAGGTGAGGATTATTCAAAAATATTGTTTTTGGGCCAATAAGCAAAGGCGAGAATTATTTAAAAATATTTTTTGGGACCCTAAAAATGTGATGGCCTGATTTTTTGAAAATGATATTTGATGAATCCCTAACATAAGCCGTCAATTTTTTAAAAACATTTATTGAGTCCCTAAACAAAGGCGAGTGAGAAACAATAGCGCAGATTTTTGATATTTTTCGAGAACCTTAACCAAAGTTGTGAAATTAAAAAAAAAAATGTGGGACCCTAAACTAAAGTCGTGGATTTTATAAAAAAAAACAGTAAGGAAAGTAGTAAAGTCGGACTGGGCCGACTATATGATACCCTTCACCACTTTTGGTATATTTAACATATGTATCCTAACAGACAACGCGTGTTGTTATAAATCTATATCTGAAACGATTTCAGGGAAACTTGCCAGATACTAATTTAAAAGTTTGGCGGAAAAATTCGTGCAAATCGAAAGATATATAGGGTCTTTGGTGCACCAATTACCTTAAATCGGATGAAAGTACATATGGGAGCTATATCTAAATCTGAACCGATTTTCACGAAACATGGCAGACATTATTCTCGATCTTATTCTTAACTCTGTGCCGAATTTCGTGCACATCAAAAGATTTCCAGGGACTTTAGTGAACTATTTACCTAAAATCGGGCGAAGCTATATATGGGAGCTGTATCTAAATCTGAAGCGATTTTCAAGAAACTTTGCACACATCATTCTATACTTAATTTAGTACGCTGTGCCAAATTTCGTGCAAATCGAAAGATATATAGGGACTTTGGTACACAATTAACCTTAAATCGGACGCAGATATATATGGGAGCTATATCTAAATTTGAACCGATTTTCACGAAACTTGGCAAACATCATTCTAGACCTTATTCATTACGCTGTGCCAAATTTCGTGCAAGTCAAAAGATTTCCAAGGACTTTCGTGGACTATTTACTTAAAATCGGGCAAATCTATATATGGAAGTCATATCTAAATCTGAACTGATTTTCTCAAAACTTTTCACACATCATTCTAGACTTAATTCTGTACACTATGCCAAAATTCGTGCAAATCGAAAGATATATAGGCACTTTGGTGCACCATTTACCTAAAATCGGACGAACATATATATGGGAGCTATATCTAAATCTGAACCGATTTCCGCGAAACTTTGCACACATCATTCGTGACCTTACTCATTACGCTGTGCCAAATTTCGTGCAAATCGAAAGATATATAGAGACTTTGGTGCACCATTTACCTTAAATCGGACTAAAATATATATGGGAGCTATATCTAAATCTGAACCGATTTTTCTCAATTTCAATAGGGTTTGTCCTTGGGCCAAACAAATGAGCTGTGCCAAATTTCATCCAATTCGGATCATAAATGCTACCTGTACTTTGTTTACAATTTAACAAGGAGACGGACAGACAGACGGACGGACATGCATAAATCGACTTAGAAAGTGATTCTAAGCATATTCTCAAAAGAAACCATGGGTCTATCTCGATTATTTTTGCCTGTTACAAACATATGCACAAAGACATAATACCCTGTACCACAGTGTGGTGAAGGGTATAAAAATTGGGGCGCTACTGCTGTTCCCTGCTATAAAAGTAGCAGAATATGGGGGATTTGAAACTCTTTGATTTAAATAGAGGACAATAAAGGCGGATCAGATCAATGTTTATTAATTAATATCAATAATAGCCATAATAATATACAACATTTAATATTAAAGGAATATGGCGCCCAACTTGGTGCATGGAATTATAATACAATTATTTAGAAAAGAATACCGAAAAGATGATCTGTATCATAGTATAGACATGTTGTCTAAAGAAATACCTAATTAAATAAAATAAAATTTTTGGTACTTAAATAGTTGTCGGCGATGGCGCCCAATTAATAAAACAATTTATTACGATTCATAAAACAATATATTATCCATAATAAAAATTTAATAATTTACCAATGTTTTCTAAATTTATGCAAATGGCGCCCAACGTGTTTCATACACATTGAGACGATTGTCCACGTTATGTACTTCTTCTAGAATCATCAACAAATACCAATACAACCATGGACAGATTCCTTTGAAACCCAGAATATTCTACCTTCCTTCCGCCAGCATTTCATCAAATTAATACACAAATTAATTTTATATTTTCATTAAATAAATAATTTATTTTTCTCTTTCGATTCTAGTTAGTATTCAATCAATATCATTTATTTATTGACAACACCCGATTTCTCTTCGATCCAGTCCAAATAGGAGGTGACACGAGTGAATACACCTGGCCAGCCCTTTTCGCAACCCAAAGCAATACCGAAGGAGGTGGCACCGATAACAGTGTTGACACCATCATGCTTGTATACCAAGGGACCGCCAGAGTCACCATTGCAGGTGGACTTACCATCCTTGCCGCTGATGCAGATCATCTTTTCGGTAACCATACCCAAATAGTAGGTTTTGCAGGTGCTTTGCTTCAACACGGGCACTTCGATGTAACGCAACAAAGGGAGAGACGGAGGTGGCAGCATCACTGTCCTTACCCCAGCCAGAAGCCCAAACCATATCACCTTCATAGGTCGAGTATTTACCGTCCATCTTGGGCAAAGCGGCGGGTTGGATGCGTTCATTGAATTCAACAACAACAGGCAATTTGATCAAGGAGATGTCATTGCTCAAGGTGTTGGGATCCCAGTTTTCGTGGATGACAATGTTCGACTTGGAGGTGTAGATACGTTGTTGACCCTTCTCATTGTCGTCCTTGATGTCAATGGCGCCCAAGTAAACGGTAACACCCTGGGCACCATCAGTACAATGGGCAGCAGTGAGAATCCAACGATCGGAGATCAAGGTACCACCACACCAGGCATTACCCTGAGCGAAATTCAAACTCAAACCAACCTGATAGGGGAACTGGCCAGGCTTGGCCAACTCACCGTTGGTAATGCGTCCCTCCAATTCCTCCAAGGACATAATGGGTACCAAGGGGAGGCGTTGTTGCAGTGGTGGCATAACGCCAGCCGAGGCAACGGCCACAAACAAACTTAGAGCGATGAACGATTTCATTGTCAATTCCAATTGACTACTGTCTTCAGTGCATCGGACTTGGGGTTTTTATAGCAAAACTTTATGTTTTGCTAAAATGACGAATTTCAACAACACCAACGTTTCCTTTTATCTTATCCATTTGTTCTAGAAAGTAGATCCAATATTCGCAAAATGTTGGTCAATGCATTTATGGTGGACGTGCGTGCTTATGGCAAAATTGACAAACATAGATAACATAACTATGCGATGGGTTCTGACGATTAATGTTATCAGCGTTCTTATAAAAGACCTATTTTGTTTTCTATGAGAAAAGGAACCATTTGTCTAAAATGAGAAGAAGGTCAATTCACCTTCTATGAGAAGAACACCCAAGTGTCTTCTACGAAGGAAGTTCCATAGAAGGCCACATTTTCTTCCACGAGAAGATCCATAGACCTTTTATAAGGTGATATGTAAGTTTTTTTTTTTTTTTTGTAAGGAGGCCTTTTGGTATTCTATGAAAACACCCCCTGGAAATCTACGAAAATACGACCAATCGGATTTCATATTGAAGAAACGCTTTCAAGACGACTATCACACTTGTGAGACGTGATCCACCCAATTGTCTTTCATGTGATAAAAATCTACTACATTTTCATGATAAATGAAAAATGAATATAATAATGATCAGCTATGGGATGAAATTGCGTTCCTCCTCCCTTAAAATTGTATAATTCCGCACCAATAATAAGTGCAGGATTTGTTTTACATCAATCTGTTAGAAAAACATAAACACAAGAAAATCCCAAACAAATTAAAACTAATTCGAAAAGCCGCCCCTTTAGATAACGACCCATATCTGGAAACTGAAATCTAAACATTTTCGATTGAATGCGGTTTTAGGAAGCTTGCGATTGGTGCAAACAATTTGGAATAAAATGCAAAACAAAAAATCTAAAAACTTTTGGATAAGATAAAAAAGTAGTATTGTTGTTCTACCAATTAGTTGGTCAAAACAAAACAATTCCTATAAAAACCCCACCTTGAAATCGGTTAAGACAGTAGTCAATTAGCATTGACAATGAAATCGTTCATCGCTCTAAGTTTGTTTGTGGCCGTTGCCTCGGCTGGCGTTATGCCACCAATGCAACAGCGCCTCCCCTTGGTGCCCATTATGTCCTTGGAGGAATTGGAGGGACGCATTACCAACGGTGAATTGGCCAAGCCCGGCCAGTTCCCCTATCAGGTTGGTTTGAGTTTGAATTTCGCCCAGGGTAATGCCTGGTGTGGTGGTACCTTGATCTCCGATCGTTGGATTCTGACTGCTGCCCATTGTACTGATGGTGCCCAGGGTGTTACCGTTTACTTGGGCGCCATTGACATCAAGGACGACAATGAGAAGGGTCAACAACGTATCTACACCTCCAAGTCGAACATTGTCATCCACGAAAACTGGGATCCCAACACCTTGAGCAATGACATCTCCCTGATCAAGTTGCCCGTTGTTGTTGAATTCAATGAACGCATCCAACCTGCCGCTTTGCCAAAGATGGACGGTAAATACTCGACCTATGAAGGTGATATGGTTTGGGCTTCTGGCTGGGGTAAGGACAGTGATGCTGCCACCTCCGTCTCTCCTTTGTTGCGTTACATCGAAGTGCCTGTGTTGAAGCAAAGCACATGCAAAACCTACTATTTGGGTATGGTTACCGAAAAGATGATCTGCATCAGCGGCAAGGACGGTAAGTCCACCTGCAATGGTGACTCTGGCGGTCCCTTGGTATACAAGCATGATGGTGTCAACACTGTTATCGGTGCCACCTCCTTCGGTATTGCTTTGGGTTGCGAAAAGGGCTGGCCAGGTGTATTCACTCGTGTCACCTCCTACTTGGATTGGATCGAAGAGAAATCGGGTGTTGTCAATAAATAAATGATATTGATTGAATACTCACTAGAATCGGAAGAGAAAAATAAATTATTTATTTAATGAAAATATAAAATTAATTTGAGTATTTATTTTATAAATTAAGGGAGGAAGAATTGCAGAAAAAAATCGGTTTAATTCAAGGTTTATTCATAAGGTTATCAGGGAGGTGAATTCAAAGTCTTCATCGACTGTCAAATTTATAGTTTGAGGAATACGTAAACAACAAATATGTTTATTCGAAACAAAATATACATGCACAATCTTATCAATACGTTTTTTTCGAAAGATATTTGGAATTTTTATCCTGTTCTGACTTCTTGCTGTCAGAACAGGATAATACTAAGGCAAGAATTCGCCTGCCGGTCAAGCTTATGAATAAACCTTGGTACCTGTCAATAAAACAACCATAAGATCGTTGTGCAGTTTTGAAATCTGTGCTTTGGTATTTAGTTAAGGAAATTCAGAATGTCAATGAAAATAAATTGATTTTGTTGTGGACGAGCGTTGGGCGCCGCATGCCGAATAGTGTAGACAACAGGGCCAATCTCCCGAATATAAAAAAGGTTTTTTTTATTAATTTTTTTGGAGAAAATATTTCTTACTTTTAGACCCCTATACGTTGGGCGCCATTTGCATAAAGTTTTTCAAATTTATGCAAATGATAATAATATTAATATTCTATAAAAATATTATTTAATATTTAAAAAAAATTTTAAATATTTTATTATGCAGCGTAAAAAATTTGATTTACATTAGACACCACCTTGCTCGTTACTACAAATATATTTTTTATATTACCAAAACTAAGAACTTTGTTGGATCCGAAGTTAATAATTGGTATTATTAGTATACAAAATATTATGGATAATGAATTGTTCAATGTATCGTAGTAATTGGACGCTGAGCACGTTGGGCGCCATCAAATACATTTGTATAAATGTAAAAAATTATATAAAGCCCCTCGGACAATATATGCTTCTTTCTCAATTCGAAGCAGCAGGTTGGGTGCCATATTTATTTAATATTAGTATTTTACATTTGTATGGCAATTATTTATATTTATCTGACAGCTAGCTGTGTCTTCTATTTAGTTCAAGGAGTTTAAAAACCTTTGTCTCCTGTTACCTGGAGGACTAGAGCCACTAGTAGCATACAAAATAATACAGAAATCCATGCTTAGCTTAGGATTCCAAAATATATATGTTTAGAAATCTATTGGCGTTTTTAAATTAGTGTTAATTTCTTGCTTTAAGATCATCCCAATATTTAACTGTATTGAAGGGTCTATCCATCTTCTACGGATGTTGAAACAAATTTTGTAGCATACACGAACCCACAAACCCTTTGGCCCGAAAAAATCTAATTTTTTTTTTTTTCAAAAATTCACCCACTTATTTATTGACTGCACCGGATTTTTCGGCAGTCCAATAGAAATAGGAAATGGCTTGAGTGAATACACCAGGCCAGCCCTTTTCGGAACCCAATGAAATACTACAGGAGGTGGCACCACCAGCACAGGAGAAACAGTGTTGGCCTTGTCACACCCCTTACCCCAAACGATGTCACCTTAATAGGTAGAATATTTTCACCGTCCATCTTTGGCAAAGTTGTGGGTTGGATACGTTCATTGGATTCAGCAGCCACAGGCAATTTTATCAAGGAAATGTCATTACTCAAAGTTGGCCTTAATGGCAATGGCGCCCAGTCAAAATCCAAAGATCAAGGTACCACTTACCAAAGACCAGTACCAAAGACCAACTGCAAACCAATTTCCAATTCTTCCAATTAATCAGTGTTGACACCATCGTGCTTGTATACCAAGGGATCGCCAGAAACACCATTGCAGGTGGACTTATCATCCCTACCACTGATGCAGATCATCTTCTCGGTGACAACGCCAACAAAATAATAAAATAATTTCTACAGGTAATTTGCTTCCAAACGGGCATCTCAATGTAACGCAACACAGGAGAAACGGTGGTGGCCTTGTCACCTTACCACAATCAGAAGCAAAAACGAGGTCACCTTAATAGGTAGAATATTTACAGGCTAAGCGGTGGGTTGGTGCACCAAGTCCCTGTATATCTTGCGATTTGCACGAAATTTGGCACAGCGTAATAAATTAGGTCTAGAATGACGTGTGTTAAGTTTCCTGAAAATCGGTTCAGATTTAGATATAGCTCCCATATATATTTTCGTCCGATTTAATTTAAATGGTGCACCAAGTCCCTGTATATCTTGCGATTTGCACGAAATTTGGCACAGCGTAGTAAATTAGGTCTAGAATGACGTGTGTTAAGTTTCCTGAAAATCGGTTCAGATTTAGATATAGCTCCCATATATATTTTCGTCCGATTTAATGTAAATGGTGCACCACAGTTCCTATATATCTCTCGATTTGCACGAAATTTGGCACAGCGTAATAAAGTAGGTCTAGAATGATGTATGCTAAGTTTCCTGAAAATCGGTACAGATTTAGATATAGCTTCTATATCTGACCAAATGAAAAATTTACTATCGATTGCACAATGGCATGTTTATGGATCCAATTTCATATTACATCTGTTGAATATACCCAAAGTGGTGAAGGGTATCATATAGTCGGCCCCGTCCGACTTTACTACTTTCTTTACTGGTTCATTTTGGGTTCTTGAGATTAAATGATAGCTTCATTTTCAATTTATTTTCGACATTTTTTTGCAAAGTCACGAAATGACGTTTGTTGCTTGTTTGTCCCGAAGAATTAACCTGTCGATATCTAAAATCGCATTTATGTTTGGTTATGTTTTTGTTTCGAGCGCACGACTCTTATCTCTTCTACTTATATGGGTTTAGACTTGCCCCGCCGCCATTGCTAGTTGTTTTGGCTATGCAAAACGCGTGCCTATCTACTGGCGTCCCTAATCAGTGGTCAATTATCACTGAATTAGCCACAAAAATGAAGGAATGATAAGTCATAGTAGAAATAATAATAAAAATATCATAATAATATAGTCAGGCTGAATCCCAGTTTGTCGTTTTTATAAAAAAAACAACTATTTATCAGTGGAGAATGTATGGCATTGTCCGCCGAGGGGTATAGGCAGGGAAGACTATAGTTTCGGATCTCGCCACTGCTCCTCATCAGTTCACTTAGTTTTTTGTTGGGATATTCTCCCCCGAAGCTATTTATTGCTTCTTTACAAAATAACCTTTCAAACTCAAAATGTCTCTTGTGACAATTCGAAGTTCTTACGTTACCAGCGATACGACCCCAATGAGAAGTTCGTTTCGTTGGCGCCTTACTTCGTGGTCAACAAGGCATTTGCAGACAACTACAATACATTTTCCACTGCTATGTGTCGTCACTTTGTGACGAATGCACATAACGTTGTTGTTGGTATTGCTAGTTAAAGCAATAAACCCAACAGTATGACCGTGCCTCGTTTACAACTTCAGTAGAGTTGGCGGGTTATTTGGGATACCATTTGTATTTTGTTTTTGCAAAATAGTCAGGCTGAAACCCCAGTTTGTTGTTTTTATAAAAAAAAACAAATATTTATTAGTGGGAAATGTATGACATTGTCCGCCGAGGGGTAAGGCAGAGAAGACTATAGTTTCGGATCTCGCCACTGATCCTCATCAGTTCCCTGGGAGATCAAAATAGTATTTTATGAGAGGACACCTAAATTTTTGCAAAAAAATTAACTTAGAGCGATGAACGATTTCATTGTCAATGCTAATTGGCTACTGTCTTCAACCTTTCAGAGTTGAGATTTTATAGGCATTTCTGTTATTTTCTTATCTTATCCAAAATGATTTTCGTTCAAAATTTTTGTAGACCAATCGCAGCCTTCTTGGAACCGAATTCAATCTTTGGTCATTAGATTTCAGTTTGCAAATAAAGTGTGTTATCTAGAGGGCCGGTTATTGGAATCAGTTTTAATTTATTTGGGATTTTCTACTGTCTATGTTTTTCTAATGAATGATTGGCGATTTGTTAAATTGCAAAGGGGAGAAGAAACATGTCCCATGTGGCGTCCAATTCGGGGGCACAAAGTAGGTTTTCAGGTAGGGAGACAAAGCTAGTGGCCAACCAGTTTTCAATTTTTGAAATATAAATATAAGTGTTTTCAAAAAAAACAATATTTTTTATGAAAAGTTGTGGCGCCCAACCTGCGATGTAGTGTTATAATATACATATATTCTATAATCAAATATAATACTTTTCCCCTGGTTGTTAATTTTTTGATAATTTAAACATATATTTTTGATGGCGCCCAATTTGGTATTTAGTATTATAATTGCTTTATTACGATGCATACAACAATTTATTTCATATTATTAAATAGTTATGTTGTGTGTGTTAATGATTTTTTTAAGTTTTCGTGAATGACGCCCAATTTGGTGGGGTCTAAAAGTAAGCCACATTATTCATTAATTACAATTAAAAAAAAATAATCAGGCATTTTTTGGAAAGTTGGAACGTGTGTCTCGTGATATCCACACTAATTGGCCAAGTGGCGCCCAACGAGGGTCCACAACAAAATCAAGTAATGGAAATTCATTCAAAATATACTTATAAGAATACTAACGGACAAATCGAACAACCGCAATTCATATTCCGGTTGCTTAGTTATTGGTGTCGTACAGCAGATGAGGAGTACGTCATTCCCAGGTGAGGAGACAAGGCGCTGGAATTTACACTTCTTGAATGAAAAGAACGACAAAATCATTTTTTTTTTAAATTTCAATAAAAATCAAAACAATATATTAATACAAATTAAAAAAAATGTGGCGCCCAACGTGGGATTTAGTCCATATACTAACGAGCTGCCATTGTTATATATTGTCTTCCTTAATTAAAAAGCCAATGCGATACACCTTCACAATTTTTGTTATCAGCTGAAACAATTTTCGGGACAAACAAATAACGAACGTCATTTCGGTTACTCTGCAAAAAAAAAGACAATGGAAAATTAGAAAAATACTTAATCTCAAGAACTTCAAAGAAAATATTAGAAGCTTCAGTCTGTTTTGTTGAAAAACAAAAATATTTTTTTAATGCAACCCACCAATCGAAGTGGTAGTTGTAGTACCTGAAGGAATACCTAACAAATATGTATTTGAAAACAAAATTAAATAATCTAAATAAAATGTTTTGACTATTGGATAAGATAAAGTTGCAGCAATGCATTTTAAGAGATTTCCATGCGTTTAGCAAAAACACTTTTGGGACTATATAAACCTCTAAAACCAGCCCCAAAACAGACAGTAGTCAGTCAATTCTCCTCTCGAAAATAGAAAGCAAGAAACACATTGGCAATGAAAGTCATTGTAGCCTTTAGCCTGTTGGTGGCAGTGGCCTCTGCCACACCCATTGAACCCCGCCTGCCACTGGTACCACTTATGCCGTTGGAAGAATTGGAGGGTCGCATCACCAACGGTGAATTGGCCAAGCCCGGTCAATTCCCCTACCAAGTTGGTTTGCAATTGGTCTTCGGTAACTCTGGTGCCTGGTGCGGTGGTACCTTGATTTCGGATCGTTGGATTTTGACTGCTGCCCACTGTGCCGATGGAGCGGATGGTGCCACCGTTTATTTGGGCGCCATTGACATTAAGAATGACAATGAAAAGGGCCAACAACGCATCTACACCTCCAAATCTAATTTTGTCGTCCATGAAAATTGGGATCCCAGCACTTTGAGCAATGACATTGCCTTGATAAAATTACCCGTGGTTGTGGACTTCACTGAACGTATCCAACCAGCTGCCTTGCCAAAAATGGATGGTAAATATTCAACCTATGAAGGTGATATGGTTTGGGCTTCTGGCTGGGGTAAGGATAGTGACAAGGCCACCACCGTTTCTCCCTTGTTGCGTTACATTGAGGTGCCCGTGTTGAAGCAAAGTACCTGCAGGAATTATTATTTGGGTGTTGTCACCGAGAAGATGATCTGCATTAGTGGCAAGGATGGTAAGTCCACTTGCAATGGTGATTCGGGCGGTCCCTTGGTATACAAACACGATGGTGTCAACACTGTTATCGGTGCCACCTCCTTTGGCATTGCTTTGGGTTGTGAAAAGGGCTGGCCAGGTGTATTCACACGTGTCACCTCCTACTTGGATTGGATTGCCGAAAAGTCGGGTGTTGTCAATAAATAAGTGGGTGAATTTTCCGAATTCGATCAATTTTTAATAAAAATATGAACATTTTGAAAAATTAAATGTCTGATTTGGTTTATTTATGGGCAATGGTGGGATGATGGGCTTTGTTTGTAAAATATGGATAGGCGATCGGAACACAGGTTTTTTAAGATTGATGATCAAGTATTTTATTATAGAGCTACATCTATAAAAATAAATGTTATTACGCATTGAAGCCAATGATTGAAAAAATTATATTAAAAAAAATATGGCGCCCAACTTGGGGTCTTCACAGTACTAATCATTAATGAAAATATAAACTCATTTCATGATACTCAATGTGGAGCCATGTCTAATAACATAATATTTGAATTTTAAAATATTTATATAATAGTATGGCGCCCAACGTTGGATCTAATATTATAATAAATTATTTTTTCTAATTTTTTTCAGAATCATAAAATAAAGCCTAAATACTCCATAAAGAGATAAAATACCGGTGCTATCATTGGATATACCTTTTTTTAATTTAGAGACATCTATATGATATTTAATGGCGCCCAACGTGGAGTCTACCATTTCTAGATATTTTTCTTCAAATTAAACACACAAAAATACCTAATAAAATATTTTTACACAATTTGGGGCAACTGTTTCGTTATAATGAACTATTTTGCAAATGGCGCCCAATGTTGATAGCAAAGTAAACCTTTTTCTTTATAGTTGTTAAAATGTTCCTAGCAAATGGTATCCTTTTCTGAGTAATCTCATTAGAATGTAAGCATACCTATAAACAAAAATCCATCGTTTTTCATTGGTCAACGACTTCTATCCTGTCACCCATTCCCCCATAACCTGACATCAAATTTTTGTAATTTATATTTTTTAAATTCTTTATTTTCTATTTCAAATAAATTAATATAATTTATTTGTTGACAACACCCGAATTCTCTTCGATCCAATCCAAGTAGGAAGTGACACGAGTGAATACACCTGGCCAGCCCTTTTCACAACCCAAAGCAATACCGAAGGAGGTGGCACCGATAACAGTGTTGACACCATCGTGCTTGTATACCAAGGGACCGCCAGAATCACCATTGCAGGTAGACTTACCACCCTTGGTGCTGATGCAGATCATCTTATCGGTAACGGAACCCAAGTAGTAGGTTTTGCAGGTACTTTGCTTCATTACGGGCACTTCGATGTAACGCAACAAGGGAGAAACGGAGGTGGCTTCATCACTGTCACGACCCCAGCCGGAAGCCCAAACCATATCACCTTCATAGGTCGAGTATTTACCGTCCATCTTAGGCAAAACAGCGGGTTGGATGCGTTCATTGAATTCAACAACAACGGGCAACTTGATCAAGGAGATGTCATTGCTCAAGGTGGTGGGTTCCCAGTGTTCGTGGACAATGATGTTCTTCTTGGAGGTGTAGATACGTTGTTGGCCGCTTTCGTGATCGTCCTTGATGTCAATGGCACCCAAATAAACGGTCACACCATCAGCACCATCGGTACAATGGGCAGCAGTCAAAATCCAACGATCCGAAATCAAGGTACCACCGCACCAGGCACCAGAGTTACCGAAGACCAATTGCAAACCAACTTGGTAGGGGAATTGACCGGGCTTGGCCAATTCACCGTTGGTGATGCGACCCTCCAATTCTTCCATGGGCATGACGGGCACCAATGGCAAACGTTGTTGCAATGGTGGCATAACGCCAGCCGAGGCAACGGCCACAAACAAACTTAGAGCGATGAACGATTTCATTGTCAACCCAAAAAACTTGACTGAATTTTGTGGCCAAAACCACCGACTTTTATATGAAAATATTTTGACCAGTTTGCTATCTTATCCGGAAAAAAACTAGAAGCCACCAAAAACAAAACTATTTAGTTATTTTAAGGTTGCGCGTGATTTGTTTCAACCACCACCCCCCTCCCAAAATATAAATAGCCTATCTCTTTACATTGATAAGAAAATTTGAAAAAATAGCAATAGTTTAGACCCACTTCATTATATCCCATGAATTATCAAATTTATCACTCAACAAAAGTAGTTGACCCCATCCTATGATAAGGGATAGCCTTAAGTTTTTTTCTTTCCCAAAAATATGATTGATTAAAAAAATGCACACCTTTTCGAGGGTTCCAAAAGATATTAAAAAATACACGTCTTTCTTAAGGGTCTCAAAAAATATTTAAAAAAAATCTACGTCTTCCTTAAGATCACAAAAAAATTCTTTAAAAAATCCACGACTTTCTTATGGGCCTCACACCTTACTCAAGGGTCCCAAAAAATTTTTTTTTTAAATCCACTTTAAAATATAGCAGAATTTTTGCGGCTTGTCAACTCTTTTTATTTTCGATTTTCACCAACTTATTTCCTAATTATGAAAAATCTGTGCACGATTCACATAAATCACGAAAAGTAATTATAGAAATATTGAATTCCGAAACATATGGCGATACAATCAATTCATCGATAAGACCCTAAATTATCTGAAGTGTGGTCAGTCAATAAAAAATAAACCTCATGTTTTACAATGCTATGAAAAATAATCTAATATTTTTTTATGATCGGTAAGATAGAATTCAATCCGTCATTATATTTATTGCGCAGAATTTCAACGCAATTTTTTAAATTTTTATAAAAAAATTCATATTTTCAAGCATATTTTTGGGCGTGGAGAAAAACATAAATTTCGAGATATTTGCACCCTCTTGACCGATTATAGGTCAACAGCTCCACGTTGTAACCCTGGCCTATTTTCCATGTCTTGTTTTGCCGAGGTGAATATTTAACACATAAAATAACCAGTAAGGAAAGTAGTAAAGTCGGACTAGGCCGACTATATAATACCCTTCACCACTTTGGGTATATTTTACATATGTATCCTAAATCTATATCTGAAACGATTTCAGGGAAACTTGCCAGAGACTAATTTATAATAATTTCACGAAGCTTAGAAACATCATTCCAGACTTAATTCAGTACTCTATACCAAAATTCGTGCAAATCGAAAGATATATAGGGTCTTTGGTGCACCAATTACATTAAATCGGATGGAAATACATATGGGAGCTATATCTAAATCTGAACCGATTTTCACGAAACTTGGCAGACATCATTCTCGATCTTATTCATGACTCTGTGCCAAATTTCGTGCACATCAAAAAACTTAAGTGGACTATTTACCTAATATCGGGCTAAGCTATATATGGGAGCTATATCTAAATCTGAACCGATTTTCATGAAACTTTGCACACATCATTCTATGCCTAATTCAGTACCCTGTGCCAAATTTCGTGCAAATCAAAGATATATAGGGACTTTGGTACACAATTAACGTTAAATCGGACGAAGATATATATGAGAGCTATATCTAAATCTGAACCAAGTTTCGTGAAACTTGGCAAACATCATTCTAGACTTTATTCATTACGCTGTGCCAAATTTCTTGCAAGTCAAAAGTTTTCCAAGGACTTTAGTGGACTATTTACCTAAAATCGGGCGAAAGTATATGTGGGAGCTATATCTAAATCTGAACCGATTTCTCAAAACTTTTCACACATCATCCTAGACTTAATTCAGTACTCTATGCCAAAATTCGTGAAAATCAAAAGATTTCCAGTGATTTTAGTGGACTATTTACCTAAAATCGGGCGAAGCTATATATGGGGGCTATATCTAAATCTGAACCGATTTTTATGAAACTTTGCTCATATCATTCTAGACTTAATTTAGTACGTTGTGCCAAATTTCGTCCAAATCGAAAGTTATATAGGGAAATTGGTGCACCATTTACCCTAAATCGGACGAAGATATATATGGGAGCTATATCTAAATCTGAACCGATTTTCGACTTAATTTAGTACGCTATGCCAAAATTCGTTATATATGGGAGCTATATCTAAATCTGAACCGATTTTCTCCAATTTCAATAGGGCTCGTCCTTGGGCCAAACCAATGAGTTGTGCCAAATTTCATCCAATTCGGATCATAAATGCGGCCTGTACTTTGTTCACAAAAATACATGGACGAACGGACGGACAGGCGGACATGTATAAATCGACACAGAAAGTGATTCTATGCATATTCTCAAAAGGGACCATGGGTCTATCTCAATTCCTTTTGCCTGCTACAAACATATGCACAAAGACATAATACCCTGTACCACAGTGTGGTGAACGATATAAAAATGTGGTCACTTTAGGTTGTCGGATTGATTTGACCCTCTTAATATTGACCGACCATCATCTAAACAGGCGTTCTAAGTAATTGTTTAGATTCCCTTCACCGTGTAAAATATGTGACGTTCTGCATATAATATTGGCCTCTAGAGCGACTAGAAAATCTGACCAAAATAAAGATTTGGGTTTATTGCATCCTAAGCACCACCTCAACATCGCCGAAAATTATAGGCGTCGTCATTGCCCATAACCGGAACTTTATGTAAAATTTCAAAGCGACATTTCCCCCCTCTAGCACATATACACCTTCAAATATTTACGTATAACTCCCACATCCGAGTACACACAACCATATAATTGGTATCAATTTAAAGGTCAACCACTTCTCTTGGATATACTATCGACTTCTCGGGTCTATGCCTTTCAGGGGTTAATGTATACGCTAGAGAATACAAATTTTGTAATTTTTCACACAAAAATCAAGGTCCATTTGACCCCCTAATTATTGACCGATCTTTATCAAAACAGGCATGCTTATTCTTTGGTCCGATCCCCTACTCCATGTAAAATTTCACGAGGTTCGGGCCAGAAATACTGACAAAAATTTAGTATTTGGTCCATTTCATCCCCTAAATATTAACCGATCTTAATAATTTAAGGTGGGTCTAGGACCAATATTTCGCGGCGTTAAAAACTCTTGGAGCTGCACAAAGCTATAATACCCTAACAACATAGTTGTGTAGGGTGTACAAATCTAGGTCTATACAAAATTAAAATCATAGATAAATTGAATTTTCCTCAATACCAATAGTGTCCGACCAAAACTTAACGATTCTACTTGTAAATCTTTATCAAGGTCAGTATTTTCTTCATGATAACCCCAAGGCTGGCTAAGAAGTTCCGTCGTGAAGTGCAAATATTTGTTATTGATTTGTTATCAATGTTGGAAGGCACTGAACGTTTTCGTTGGGTTTGCGAAACACCTCTCAAATTTATGGCAGGGTTTTAAGTTTGTGCAACTACTTCCTGAACAAGATAATGCAGTGTAAATATGCCCAGTAAATATTTTCAAAAGTGCATATAAATATCAAGTATTTAGGGGATGGGAACTATTAGTCTGAATTCTGAAATCCGCAATGCAATCGATCACATTATTAAGTTTCTTCGTGGTCGTGGTGGTATCGGCTGGCAATGGCGTGCCACCTATGAAGCAACGCTTGCCCAAGATGTCCCTTATGACTTTGGAAGAATATCGCGGACGCATTACCAATGGTGACTTGGCCCAACCTGGACAATTTCCCTATCAAGTGGGATTGAGTTTGATGTTCGGTAACCAGGGTTTCTGGTGTGGCGGCATATTGATTTCGAATCGCTGGATCTTGACTGCCGCACATTGCACGGATGGCGCCGATGGTGTCACCATCTATTTGGGTGCCATTGACATTTCCAATGACAATGAGAAGGGCCAGCAGCGTATCTACAGCTCCAAAAGGTATATAATTGTCCACGAGGAATGGGATAGTGAACTGATTCGCAATGACATTTCGTTGATCAAAATGCCGGTAGTCATTGAATTCAATGATCGCATCCAACCTGCTGTGCTACCCAAAAAGGATGGTCAATATTCCAGCTATGAAGGTGCTTTGGTATGGGCATCAGGTTGGGGTCGTGACAGTGACGAGGCCTCGAGCATCTCTCAACTGCTGCGTTACATTGAGGTGCCTGTTATTGATCAAAATATTTGCAACAGTTCCTATTCAGGTTACATTACCGACAAAATGATCTGCATCAACACCGAGGGAAATAAGTCGACCTGCAATGGGGATTCCGGTGGCCCACTGGTATTGAAGCAGAATGGTGAGAACATTGTGATTGGTGCCACTTCGTTTGGTATTATTTATGGTTGTGAGGTGGGCTGGCCAGCTGTATTCACTCGTATCACCGCCTATTTAGATTGGATTGAAGAGAAATCGGGTGTGGTTAATAATTAATAGAAAAATACAAATTAATAAAATAAATTTTAATCAATAAAATACAAAATTTAGTAAATTTATAAAAAACCAGGGTACGAAGAATGATTAAAATACGCTATTTCTCACGAATGCTCACGGTGAGAATTCGAATGTTTTCAATTTATACCGAATTATAAAGTTACAATGAATGAACAAGCATTTGCAATCTCTCACGAATGTTCGCATTGTACGAAAAATTCACGAACGATAAAATTTCGCTGCAAGCGTCCTTGATTCGTTCGTTCGCGAGCATTTGTTGCTGAAGAACATTATTTTGAAATGTTCGCGAATGCTGGCGAGCACAGTTAAAACAACAACACACAGAAATATCATAAAAAAGTAAACACACACACAACGAATTAATGTGTGTGTAGCAGAAAGTGTGTGGAATAACAAAACACATGTCCGACAACTATTGAGTTCATGAACGTTTGTTGTTGCCGTTTTGAGCATTCGCGAGAATTCATTCGTGAGAGAATGTCTGAAAGAATTTCAACCACCAAACGAAACAAACGAACGTTTTTGTGTGCTCTCACTCGTTTGATATGTGTGTGCGAATATTCTTTGGCGAATGCTCGTTTGGTAAATAATTTATTGCCATAAATTCATTCGTAAAATGAGCACAAAACGAAAAGAATGTATTTTAATTCATTCGCGAGCGAATTTTTGCGCACCCTGATAAAAACAAAGTAAGACCTCAAAGCGTGGGCTTGAATTTTTAACAATACTTGGAGATCTTAAACAAAGGCCTGGATTTTTTTTACAAACAAATTTGTTGAAACCTTTACCAAAGGCATGCATTTTAAAAAAATATTTTTGATGCCCTTACCAAGGGTATGGATTTTTATACCCTTCACCACGCTGTGGTACAGGGTATTATGTCGTTGTGCATATATATGTAACAGGCAAAGGGAAATGAGATAGACACATGGTTCCTTTTGAGAATATGCATAGAATCACTTTTTAAGTCGATTTATACATGTCCGTCTGTCCATGTTAAATTGTAAAAAAGTACAGGCCGCATTTATGATCCGAATTGGATGAAATTTGGCATACGTCACTTATTGGCCCAAGGACGAACCCTATTGAAATTGGGAAAAATCGGTTCAGATTTAGATATAGCTGCCATATATATTTTCATCCGATTTCATGTAAATGGTGCACCAAAGTCCCCATATATCTCTCGATTTGCACGAAATTTGGTACAGCCCAATAATTTAGGTCTAGAATGATGTGTGTTAGCTTTCCCGAAAATCGGTTCAGATTTAGATATAGCTCCCATATATATTTTAGTCCGATTTAACGTAAATGGTGTACCAAAGTACCTATATACCTTTCGATTTGCACGAAATTTGGCACAGCGTAATGAATTAGGTCTAGAACGATATGTCTTAAGTTTCCTAAAAATCGGTTCAGATTTAGATATAGCTCCCATATATATTTTCGTCCGATTTAACGTAAATGGTGCATCAAAGTCCCTATATATTGTTCGATCTGCACGAAATTTGGCACAGCGTAATGAATTAGGTCTAGAACGATATGTGTTAAGTTTCCTGAAAATCGGTTCAGATTTAGATATAGCCCCCATATATTAGTCCGATTTTAGGTAAATGGTGCCCCAAAGTCCCTATATATCCTTCGATATGCATGAAATTTGGCATAGCGTACTGAATTAAATTTAAAACGATGTATGTTATATTTCGTGAAAATCGGCTTAGATTTAGATTTAGCTACCATATATTTTTTCGTCCGATTTTAGGTAAATGATGCACCAAAGTTCCTATATATCCTTCGATTTGCACGAAATTTGGTGCAGCCCAATAATTTAGGTTTAGAATGATGTGTGTAAGGTTTTCCGAAAATCGGTTCAGATTTAGATATAGCTCCCATATATATTTTCATCCGATTTAATGTAAATGGTGCACCAAAGTCCCTATATATCTCTCGATTTGCACGAAATTTGGTACAGCCTAATAATTTAGGTTTAGAATGATGTGAGTTAGGTTTCCCGAAAATAGGTTCAAATTTAGATATAGCTCCCATATATATTTTCGTCCGATTTAACGTAAATGGGGTACCAAAGTGCCTATATACCTTTCGATTTGCACGAAATTTGGCATAGCGTAATGAATTAGGTCTGGAATGATATGTGTTAAGTTTCCTGAAAATCGGTTCAGATTTAGATATAGCTCCCATATATATTTTCGTCCGATTTAACGTAAATGGTGTACCAAAGTACCTATATACCTTTCGATTTGCACGAAATTTGGCATAGCGTACTGAATTGAGTTTAGAATGATGTGTGCTATGATTCGTGAAAATCGGTTCAGATTTAGATATAGCTCCCATATATATTTTCGTCGGATTTTATATAAATCGTACAACAAAGTCCCTATATATATCCTTCGATTTGCACAAAATTTGACATAATGTACTGGATTAGGTCTAGAACGATGAGTGTTAAGATTCGTGAAAATCGGTGCATATCCCACATATATTTTCGTTCGATTTTACATAAATGACGCACCAAACTCTTAATGTTTGTCCGATTAACACGAAATTTTGCACAACGTATCAAATTGAGACTTGAATGACGTTATTGCGTTTTGTTGAAATTGGTGTAGATGTCGCCATAGCTTCCATATGTATTTCGAATGGGTGTCTGATTGAGATTAAGTTTTTAGCAGTGCGACGTACCGAATATCTTGTATCAATTTAGCTATACATCGTTTTCCATAAATTTGTCCCATGGTACGCAGACGACTTTAAATATGCCCGAATGAAATTAAATTTAGCATAGGTTGGGGAAAGACATGAGCAAGTTTCTTCGAGGGGACATTGACATACAATTGTTAGGGTACATATGTCCAATATACCCGAAGTGGTTAAGGATATCATATAGCCGGCCCAGTCCGACTTTACTACTTTCTTTACTGGTTTAAAAATAATTTTTGAAACCTAGCCAAAGTCGGTTTTTTATACCCTACACAACTATGTTGTCAGGGTATTATAGCTTTGTGCAGCCCCAAAAGTTTGTAACCCCGCGAAATATTGGTACTAGACCCACCTTTAAGTATACTAATCGTCATATCTCGACTAGCTGAGTCAATCTAGACATGTGTGTCCGTCCGTCCGTCTATTATAATTTGTAAACACGATACAGGCCACAGTTATGGACCAATCTTCACGAAATTGTAGAATGGGTTCTGGCCAATTAAGATCCCTATTGTTTTTGGTAATAATCGGTTAATATTTAGGGGTTGAAATGGACCAAAAACTTTATTTATGTCGGGTTTTCTGGTCCCTCCAGAGGCCGCAATTATGAGCCAAACACCTCGAATTTTTGCATGGAGAAGGGGATCGGGCCAAACAATAAGTATGTCTGTTTTGATAAAGACCGGTCAATATTTAGCGGGTCAAATGGACCTTGACTTTTGTGTGAAAAATGAAAATGTATTCTATGACGTATATATTTACTCGTGAGGATATAGATCCGAGAAGTCGATTATATATCCAAGAAGAGTGGTTGACCTTTAAATTGATACCAATTATATTGTCGTATGTCCTTGGATGTGGGAGTACCACTTAAATATTTACAGGTACTTGCGTATTCATATATTAGTTAGTGGCCCATTACCACACTTGAGGGCGGAAATAAAGCGTTGATCGCTTTGAAATGTTCCATGAAGTTAAGTTATAGCAGGGACAACGCCTATAATTTTCGGTAATGATCAGATAATAATTTTGATATGAAGTGGACCGACAACTTAATTTTTTGTGTTTTTTCGAGTCGATTTGCACAGCACAACCCACGGTGAAGGAAATTTGGACAAGTACCCAATTAGAAGGAGCGTACTGAATATTGGTAATATTCGGAAAATATGTCAGTGTAAGGAAGAGGTGCTGTTGACCTCTAATCGAGCAAGAGGGTGCAAATATCATGAAATATTTCCTAGGAACCAACATCCGCAGAGAGTTAGTGTTCCGTGGTAGTTGTGTAGGGTATTGTATGGTCGGCCGACTATACTGCTTCGCTCAAAGGTAGGGATTTTTTTAAAAATAATTTTTGAAACCTAGCAAAAGTCGGGGTTTTTTAATATTTTTGAGACCCGTGGATTAAAAAAAATTAACCTTAACAAAGGCGCGGGTTATCTATCTATCCAAAATTGTAGATTTTTTAAAAATATTTGGAGTTCCTATTCATAGTTGTTGATTTTTAAAAATATTTGGAGATCCAATCCCAAACCGTGAATTTTTTAATTTTTTTTTTTTTTTGAAACCCTATCCTAAGTCGTGGACTTTTTAAAAATGTTTTTTGAGACCTAAGATATATTTTAATATATCTTGACTTTTTAAGAGTACCTTTTACTGCCATGGTAAAATCTAGACCCTGAGATTTTCATTGAAAATTAAATCTAAATGCTTTTATTGATTTATTTTTCTGCCAAGGAATTATGCACTGCAATTGATATTAAAACAATGTTAACAATAATACATGCCAAACACACACACACACATACACTCCCACACCAATTCCTACAATAATAAAACAACATAAGTAACTATTCGTTAAAAACATTAAGCAGCCAAATGGCAGCTGCCCCTTTTCTTAAAATCAAAAAAATAGCAACTCAACACTGTTCAGGTGCAACAGTTATAACCAAAACGAATTATGAATAATGCTGCTTGGCTCATTCATATGCATGAAGACAACAGAGAAAACAAAAAAAAAACAAACGATAAAATTCGAAAAAACATTATCACCAACAATAACAACAACACCAAGCCGCATCAGAAGCTCCACAAAAACAAATAAATCGCCAATAACTTCCTACGTCTAGCCGACACAAAATCAAAAAAGCTAACATTTAACGAATAAAACACAAAAAAAAAACAACAACAGCAAAATAAAATTCAAACATACATGCAGCATGGTGGTGGCATGCAACTACACAACATCACGATATGTACACATATGT